AAAGGAACTGATCTGTCCAACCAGTTCTTTGATAGGAACTGATCTGTTCAACCAGTTCTATGATAGAAACTGATCTGTAACTAGGAGTGGGAAGTTACCGTTCCCAGACCGTTCCTGGAAACGGTAACGGTAACGGCAACGAAAAAGTTCCCAGTCACCGGGAACGGTAACGCCCCGTTCGCAGTTGCCCGAGAACGCAGGTAACGGTCAGGGGACTACCTAGCATCATCAATCTCATCGCCTTGGTCCTTACGAACAACTATTGGGGGTACCCTTGTGTCGACAAGCCCCACTATTGGAGATACCGTTGGGTCCTCAAATGCTAGTATTAGCAAATACCTTTGGCTCATCAAGTGCTCGTATAGCTGGGTACACTCAGGCCAACCAGTGCAACTATTACGTGGTACCGTGCGTTCAACCAATGCAAAATTTGCACCAAACCGTTGTGCCGTCAGGATTAATTGCCAGGAAGGAGGTATCCTTGACCCAACCACCGCAAAAAGTGGCGCGGTAACGTAGGCCCAATCTACGCAAATTTTGCACCGAACTGTCGTGCCATCAGGTTCAAATGCCAGGAAGGAGGGTAGCCTTGGTCCAACCACTGCCAGAGTTACGCGGCAGCCTTTGCCCAAACAGTGCAAGTGTCGCGTGGTACCCTTGCCCCAACAATTACTGGTGTTGCCAGTATCCTTGGCCCCTGAAGTCTTACTATTGGGGGGCACCCTGACGTCCTGAAGTCAAAGTATTGGGAGGTACTTTTCGGTCCTCCAGGAGGACCCGAGTATATCCCGTAATGCTAGCACTTGGTGGACCAAGGGTAACCCCGAAACGTAACGGTAACTTCCCACCCCTAGGTGTGAATGCTGAGAGAAGACTCATACGCACACACACCAACACCCAACCCAACCCACACAAAACCCATCCCAAACCCACACCCGTTTCTCGAAAGAGAACTGGTCACTTTACCCAGTTCTTGAAAAAGAACTGGTCACTTGGCCCAGTTCTTGAAATAGAACTGGTCACTTTACCCAGTTCTTTAAAAAGAACTGGTACCTTTACCCAGTTCTTGAAAAAGAACTGATCACTTTTACCCAGTTCTTCAAAAAGAACTGGTCACAATAAGTAGTTCTCGAAAAAGAACTGATCACTTTATCCAGTTCTCGAAAAAGAACTGATCAATTTATCCAGTTCTTGAAAAAGAACTGGTCACAATAAGCAGTTCTCGAAAAAGAACTGGTCATTTTACCAAGTTGTTCACCAAGAACTGGTCACGGTAGCCAGTTCTTGAAAAAGAACCGGACGCTTAATCCAGTTCTTCGAAAAAGAACTGGTTGCAATAACCAGTTCTCGAAAAAGAACTGGTTGCAATAACCAGTTCTCGAAAAAGAACTGCCGGGTGTGTACAGTTCTTAGAAAAGAACTGCCGGGTGCACACAGTTCTCGTCAAAGAGCTGGTCACTTTAACCAGTTCTGGAAAAAGAACTGGTCACTATACCCAGTTCTTCAAAAATATACAGTTCATAGAACTGGGAACTGTCCTAGGTCTAATTACAATGTTTATGTAGCGGGCGAAGGAAAATGTCGAGCAGTTAGACGAAGGGAAGACCATTTGTTGAAGGTCTTCCAATAGTAGCTGGTGTGTATAATCCGTATTTTGGAGTTTATACTACACGTATCTGAAATAATGAAAGAGAATGTATGATTATTATAGCGACATTAGATTCCTAGAATGATTTCACGACCCTTGTTCGTGATCTAATAGATAAAATGCTTTTCCAAATAATCAACGAATAAGCTAGTGATATGTTTGTTCAATAAGAGTATCCATATATATTTATGTATCGCTGATATTCTAAGCCAAATAGCCGAACGTATATATACATCGCTGGGACTCAAAGGGTTAAAATGATTATGTCAGTAGTAAATGTCATATTGTCAATATTATAATAACTAGCAATATCTTTTGAAGACTCCTCAAAGACAATAAAATCAACTTTCTCGTTATTATTCATATTGACTGTTATTATATCTGCTACTTCGATGATACTTGAATAAATGCAACCTTTAGTAAGTATATAATTGTCAGAATTTAAAACAATTTGAATATTATTCTGATGAGTACTCGTACTCATGAGTTCGAGTTTACCATCTTCATTAACGGTTATGGGTGTGAAGAGTAAGAGTCTTCTCTTGTGCTCATATACTCACATCCTCTGCGAAAGTTAATCCCAATACGATTCATTCGACATGTGTGTCAATGTTTATTACAGTTTTGCGACAAATTCTGACCAAGACAAGCTTAGATATTGTGATTTTCATTTAAAACTTTCCATAAAATTATAATAAATATTGAAATTTTTGTCTTAACAATCTTCCTCATATCTCATGTGTGGAATAAACTTATGCCGTGGTACTCAAAAAGAAGAACATCGTTGAAATGAGAATTTAAAAAAAACTTCAGAAATTTTCGGTACATCTTAAGAACGAATTCAGATGTTTGTTTTTTTTTTACTTCTCCATTACTACTTTTAAAATAAATTTATCAGTTGCGTGAAGATCAAAACTTTGCATAGTTTTAATTATATCATATTTCTGAAGTCTTCGATTGTACTGGTACAAGGAGCCACAGATAATTCCCTAGTTTTGTTCATGATTTACTTCATGAAGTAATTTTATTCAAATACTGAGGTTGAATATTAGTAAAATAATTTTTAGTTTAATTTTACAAATAAATACCACAGCATCCAAGGAAGCTATACCTTAGAAAAATGATTATTTTTTCATAATTATCATTTAAAAATCCTACCAATGTTGAAACATTTGTTTTAATACGCATACAAACAATTCCTACACATAGCTTCTGAATATTTTATTCACATAATGGTAATGGAATAATAGGCCTAGTCATTTTCCATGGTGATTCATCTCTTTTTTCCACTATCCAAACAACTCATAGCTACTAGAGCAACTTGAATGGTTATTCAATGATTTAGTCCGTCTGACTCAAAAGTTACAGTTATTATATTATTGCAATCTAACTTAATAGAACAATATTATATTTTTCATCTAATTCTGTCCTCATACATGGAAATAGACAGTTGTCCAATATTGGGATGAACACGAACATAAAAAAAGTGAAAAGATGATGTTTATTGTTGTTGGTGTGAAAAAATAAACTCCATTAAATTCTATCTAGTGAATAAGATCCAGATATGCTTTCAAAAAGTTTGAAAGCAATAAAAGACATTGTGACGCTGTTCGTCGTCAAACATTTGAAAGCTATTTAGTATATCAAGAAGGATATCAATAGAATGTGAGACCACATCAGTCATTTGAAAAGAGATATAACATTTAATGAAGTCTTCATAAATAAATATTTATATTTAATGAATAATAAAACTCATCATGGATTATTTCAGCTAATATTGTCAACAGATTTGATTTTCGTTTCACAAATATTCAGCTAGTTTCTGATACAGATCAGTAACACAGGAATAATGAGCTTGAACTTGGACACATATTTTATCATTCATATCAAATTCTAAATCGCTAAATGATTGATAGAATATATTTATCGCTATGACCAGATGATAAATAAATGATAATTCAGAGTTCAATACATTACGTATAATATGTCCGTTAGTTAGTGGACACCATGTTTTATCACTCAATACATGCAACATTTTCGAATACTTCTCGTAAGTAAAGAGAAATTTTTGGATTATTTATATTATTTCTGTTCGAAACAATTATATGCAATGATTGAAGAGAAACTAGAAACGATACACAACATGATATTTTCAAGTTTGCTGATGATAAGTAAGATGGCAAAGTCAGAAAAGACTTCCTTAACGTCGTATAATAGATGTCCAATTCGTAAATCATCACCTTGAATAGAAATTCTTTCGATTGAAGAATTACGAAATAATCAGTTTCCGCTCGATTTTTAGGTGAATATCAATTACAATCGATTACCATCATTCTGACGCTTTTATTTCGATTTCACATTGCAATTATGCATAAAGTTATAAATAGAGGACAACGAGCTCTTTCAAATAATACGAACATTCTTTATTGTGAAAAGTCCCATTTACTATTTGTAAAGCAACTTGTAACGCATTCAATGATAAATTGGAATTTCCATTTTCATCAAGTTTTAAGGCTCTAAGAAGTCATATACTACTTAAGAGATATTATAACAATTGTGGGTAAGAATGTCAGGCACAAGGAAAGATAATACCGCATACCTGTTGTCATATTTGACCACGCGTACAAACAGTTACACTCTGAAAAAAAGGTAGAGGAAGATGTCAGGCCTGACATCATCAACCTGAATTTCAAGTATTTCTTCTTTAAAGAGCTCAGATTAGCTCGTAAGTTATGTAGAATTCAAAAAAATGTTTCTCTTTATCAAATAAATCGTCAAGTTTCAAGGATGAGAAAGAAAAAGGATATGTTTCTTCAAATAACAATAATAATATTCCACTTTTAATCAATCCAAAAAATTATAACTGAATTTATTTATATTTTTTTTATTTATTTATATTTTTTGTTTTCGAAAACAAAAGTCGAAAACAATTTAGAAAAAACAAAACCTATACATTTATGTCCGAATACATTCTGCCTGTTCATTATCATTTGTTGATTTCTCAGAAGTATTTGTTGTCATTGTTGATACATCATCATCATAAACACGAATAAATTGTTTCAATGGAAATGTTTCATCAAGTTCTAAAGATAATTGTGCAAAATCAATTGATTCAATTGTTTCTTCATGAACATCAGGTATGGTTTGTAAATTATCAGATAATTCCATAAGTTCTTTATCTGTAATATTTTTTGCCGATAATTTTTTTTGACCAGTTTCAAATAATGATATAAAAAAATCTAATTTTTCACCATTGTCAAAACCATTTCCTGCCCAGAAGGCTTCATCGTTTGATTGTTGTCGGTCATTAAGAATATGTAAAGCATCATCACGCTGTTGTTCTATTTCACGTATTAATCTTTCAACATAATTTCTAATATGCTGTCTCATATCATCATATTTTTGTGATATATTATCCATTTGAAGACGTTTTTCATTAATTAAACGTAAACGTGAATCAAGTATATCTAATTGTACTTTACTTTCACGATGAACATCAAGTAAGTGTGTTCGTCGACATGTGTCACAAAGCATAAAAAAACAATGTTTGCAAACTTTAAGCATTTTAAGTAAACAACATGCGTGACATCGTGCACGATAAACGCCACTTGTTTGATACTGTGGTTGATCAGAATTTAAAGCAGATGCATCGAGTGCTTCACATAATTGTTTAAGTGTTGGATTAATAATTAACATAGATTCAAAATGTTCAAATGAACGAAAATTTAATTGAAATTTACAATATGGACAAAAAATATAGTTTATTGGTGTTGATGTATTTATATTATTGTTCTGAGCATAATCAAGCAAACATGAGCGACAAAATGAATGGGCGCATGGAAGACAACAAGGTGATGACATACGAGATAGACAAATACCACATATTAGAATTTCACTTAGAAGATCATCTTTACTTTTTGATGTTGTTTCACTGGTATTGCTCGAAAAATTTGATGATGTGCAGTTTGAAGCCATTATAGTTCGATCTAAAAAATGAATAATCGAAAAAAGCGAGATGTATGCTTCAATATTAGTGTTTTGTGAACGACACAGGAGTATTTGTAGCAAAAGAATGCAAAATATTCTTTCTTTCAACACTTGTTTTCATAGAGCCAAAAAAATGTTTTTGAAACAACTTCACCTTTACTCCATTTATATAAGGGTCTCTTTTCTTTTCTTTTTTTTCTGATCGCAAGCAATGAAGAAAGAAGCGACACTGACGTCGGTAGTACGATGCAAAAGAGAAAAGAAAACAAGTCGCCGTCGAATGGATGCCTTCTTTTAATCACCACCATCATCATCATCATCACTCACATTGGCACGCGACGGAATATAATAACCTGTGATGATGATGATGAAGAATAAATACCAATTATTTTTCTTCGGGTTTTTTCGATTTGATATAGAATGAATAAAAAACGGAGTGTCATATATAATAAACTCAATAACATTCTATTCTGTTATCCATCCAAATAAACAATAAAAAAAAAATTGAGATAGAAAGAGTACGAGAATAAAAGAAAAAGCTAACATAAATAAAATTCTTTCTCTAAGATAAAACAATGTGTGAGCTTTAATAAAACTCGCGCATTTATTTTGTTTATTTTCTCGACTAAAAGTTTGTTTTTAGCCTTTCAATAATTTATGCATTAATTGACCCATTTTAGCTGGAGAATCACTAACAGCAACTTTTGCATCTTTTAACGCTTGAATTTTTCCTTCAGCACCACCAGATTTTCCACTTATAATAGCACCAGCATGACCCATACGACGACCAGGTGGAGCTGTTTGTCCCGCAATAAAAGCAACAATAGGTTTAGCTTTTGATCCAATATTATTTTGTTTAAGATATTCAGCAGCTGCTTCTTCAGCATTACCACCTATTTCACCAATAAGAATAATACCTTGCGTAGCTGGATCATTTAAAAATAAATCTAAACAATCAATGAAATCAGTACCATTAAATGGATCACCACCAATACCAACACATAATGATTGACCAAGACCAGCTTGTGTAGTTTGATGAACAGCTTCATAAGTTAATGTACCACTACGTGATACAATACCTATTGGACCTGGTCGATGAATATGGCCAGGCATAATTCCAATTTTACATTTACCAGGAGCTAAATATTCAAATGTTTAAAATAGATATGCACTAATTCCTGAACCATGATTTCCAAGATATTGTTTCTTTTTTTTTTAGTATTGAGAAATCATGAACCTGCTAATTATTTATGACAGTTTTGCTCAATTTTGATTGCCCTATTGGAAATTATTATCAGATTTTATTGACTATAAAACAAGAGTTTTGGAATAGGTCAAAAGTTAAGATATTCACGATGAACTCCGATCAATACTGTAAGCTTTTTTTAAATATTTGAAAAAATCAAATACTAACATCAGATAGAGCATTTAAATGTAACAATGGCTGACATAAACAATTGATATGAATCTATTGATTCTCAATATGATAGGTACATTACTTTTGATTTGATGCTTCAGGAATTGGTGCATCGATATCTAAGGACAACATATTTCGAATATTCAGAGTGTAAATAATAAGCAAAGCTTACAGAATTGGTCGGATCTTTTCTTACAAATGTTAACTGTACACTAATTCCGAAACCTTCATGTTGAATTCGCTAAAACCTAACAATGGTTTCAGATAGCACAATGAAAATTGAGCAGAATAGTTATAAACAATTGATAAGAAAAAAAAGTTTTCAATACTGAAAAAAACATCATCTTTAATATCATGATCGAGTAAATGGTGCATCCCTATGTTTAATCTTCATTAAACTACTAATACTTACCGATAACACCTGGACAATTTGGTCCAACAAGACGTGATCTATTTTGTCTTACAAGTTGATATTTAACTTTAACCATATCATGTTGTGGAATACCTTCTGTTATACATACAATTAAACCAATACCAGCATCCATAGCTTCCAGAATAGCTTCAGCAGCACCTGGTGGTGGAACATAAATGACTGTAGCTGTTGCACCGGTTTCGTTCATAGCATCATGTACTGTTTTAAATACTGGCAAACCTAAATGTTTAGTACCAGCTTTTTTTGGACTAACACCACCAACTAATTTTGTACCATAATCAAGTGCTTGTTGAGAATGAAATGTTCCTTGTTTACCAGTAAAACCTTGACATATTACTCGTGTTTCACTATTAATATACAAATTTTTGCGTGTTGAATCATAAAGAGATTTATCATAATTTGTTGAAGAGTTTTGTTGTTGACTTGCATTAACAATAGCACTCGTTTGAATACAACGACAATGTGTTTTCGCTAATAATGACGATATAAGACGTCTTGTTAACATGATATTAATCTACAATAATTAAGAATCAGCTAGATTAGATTACAATTGAAAAACAGCAAGGCATGTCAAAGACTAGCTCCTTTCATTGAATCAAGAAAAATAGAGAAAAAATGTCATTTATAAGTCTTTTCGTATTCCAGCACTTGCATATTGTTTTTGTTCATCGGTTAATGGAACATACATAACACCCATATGTGTTTGTTCATGCCAGGTTCCATCAGCTTTTTTATCATATGTTATCATTTCTTGACCAAATCCACCACCAACAGGTGATACAAGTCGTCCACCAACTTTAAGTTGACGAATAAGTTCCTGTGGAGTATCAGGTGCAGCTGCACCAACATGAATAGCATCATATGGTGCTTCAGCAGCATAACCTTGTCGACCATCACCTTTATGAATTTCTACAACGCCTTCATCGAATAGATCTTTATTATTTTTTTTTATATTAACTATTGATTTATCAACAAGTTCTTGAATATGTTCAACACCAATTGCCTTGCCACCTGGACGAACTAGATGTGCCATACATGCTGTTAAATATCCAGAACCAGAGCCAACATCAAGAACTTTAGCACCTGATAAATCAAAACAAAAATTATATACAGATACTTAAAAGCAATAAAATACCAGGTTTTAAATGATCTTTGAGAATTTCTAAACCAAAGCAATGCATATGTGGAGCACTAATAATAAAAATGTTTCAAAATAATTTTTTTAATTTAATATAAAAATCTTACCTGATTGTTACCTAGAGGTTATTGAGATAAATAAAACTCAAAGATCATTTATCACATATACAAATGTACTTACCGCATAACCAACTAGCAAAAAAAAGCAAAGTTTAGTAATTAAAAAAATTAAATTTCTTCAAAATACTTGGTTGAGGTCGATCTTCGTAAGCATCAGATTTACGATCAGTAAAATCAGCTCGATCAACGTGTAACATTGCTTCTTTTATACGTTGATCTTTGATCAAACCATTTCTATATAAATTTTCAATTAATTCTCTATGTGATGAACCAGATGAACGCCACGCCATATTTTCATTGAATGCTGTTATTCGATGTGACTGATAGAAAATACTAAAAGCAAGAATTAATAATGGAAACATAAACACTAACTTATCTAAAATGAAACGAAATCTCGTAATAAATTATTCGTTTGCAATAGATTTATTGAGAACAAAATACTTGCATAATTTTATTTGTTTTTCAAACAAAATAAATGCCTGATAATCAGGTTGATAAGTGATTCTTATTTTTTTTAAATACTTATCAAAAGAATGTGTTTGACGGAATTTTTAATTTTAAAAAAGAAACAAAACATAACAACAAATGAATAAATTTTAACAATAAGTTTTTCTAATCATTTTTTCATAATTCGTCTAAGATTTGTAACAAATGATTCAAATTTGACTGTAAACGATAGTTTAGCTTTACGATTATAATCTGGTTTTTGACCAATATCATTTGCTAATTTATCAATTATCATTGATAAATGTTCATCATATTGCTTCATTTGTCCAAGAGTATAATAAAATTGATTTGGATATGCGCATATTAAAGTATAAATTGTTCCAGATAATGTATCAAATAAATCTGATAATGTTGTTGTTGTTATAACAATTTCTTGTAAAAGATAATCAAGAAAATGTTCTAAATACTTTGTTTTTTCATTAGTTTGATTTAATTTTTGTTGTTTTATTGTATATAATGTTAAATTTTGAATTGTTTCTAAACACATTTTACATATTTCATTATCATAATTGTCAAGACCTAATTTTATTGTTGATAAAAATATTGAATATTGATCTGGATTAAGTAAACGAAATATACATTCAGAATGTTGTTCACATAATGTTGATACAAGTTTATAATAACATAAACTGATAGAAGGTATTTTTAATAAATTATCTGATTGAATTAATGGTAAACAAATTGTTAAACCATATAGGACAACGTCACCAACATTAACTTCTCTACAAGCAAAAAAGAAAAGAATAAACTTCAGAATATGTTCTATCATTATTTAATTGAATCAATATTATCAGATAGAAGATTGATAATAAACGCAAGGATTTCTTAGTACAAGTGGACATTTATTGGTTGAGCTGTCGCGACTAATCTGTTAATTGAATTGTACTATAAACTCTTAGAACCGCTGAATTATCTTGGATCATTAACAACTGTTATTTCACCTGCTTTAGTAGATCTACTAATGGTCTTAGTTGATAAAGGAATTTTCTTTGATTAACCCTTTACGGCCGGCTACCAGAAGATAGCAAGCAAAAAATTCTCCTTCTATATATTCTTTGTCTCTTAGATGTGGAGGTTACAGAAATTCATCTTGGAGTTAAAAGAACTGATACTGAGCCGAATGCCAACATGTTGCCTTTTGGCAACAACCGGTCGCAAGGGTACAAAAAGTTGGGAAAAGTGAACTATTTTACCTCGATGGAAGTCCAATAATTTGCTGTTGGTTTTAGTCCAGATTGTCAAACAAAAGCATACTTTATTTATCTGCCTACCTCTTACAGCCTCAATGTGCAATATATTGTCAAAATACTCAAAAACTTTCTGAAATAGTGCAAATTTCACCTATTTTCCTCAGGGAAGCCCATGAATTTAGTAAGATTTTAACAAGACTAGTAATGTTTTATAGTAGTCTGAATAGGAATACTATGATGTACTGTAAATCTTGTTAGAATCTCGCTGAATTTGTGAGCTTCTCTGGAGAAAATAGGTGCAATGTGCACTATCTCGGAAAGTTTTTGAGTATTATGGGAATATATCGCACATTGAGGCTGTAAGAGGTGGGCAGATAAACAAAGTATGCTTTTGTTTGATAATCTGGACTAAAACTAACAACAAATTATTGGACTTCCATCGAGGAAAAATAATTCAATATTCGCAACTTTTTGTACCCTTGCGGCCGAATGTTGCCTTTTGGCAACATTCTTGTACTCTATTCTTCGAGTAAACTGAATGATTTATCTTATTGATATAATAGATAGTGGATCTGGAGAGGAAAATTAACCACTAGTTACTTCTCGCATCGAGTGCTCGCACAAATGGAAAACAGAGCAATTCGACTCGAGGGCTGTTTCGGGTGTTGACGGGAGAATTCATCCCTCTCGTCAATAATAGCTTTCTCCTTTCTTGAAAAGGCATAGGTTTGCCCTAAAATGCATGTAATTAATTATCAAATCGCTTAAGGAACTATATCTCATCACTTTAAGATAAATCCTAAGATAATATTGGCAAAATGTTGCCATTTGGCAACATCCGGCCGTAAAGGGTTAAGAATCGTTTCTATATTTGATATCTTTTAATAAGAATAGATCATAATGAATCCGAATAGAACTAGAGACGAAGAGACTGAAGTGCTCGATTTTTTTAGATGAATGTTTATTTTAAAAAAACACTCATTGAGATGCATTTTAAGTATTTGATCGATGTTAAGCATTGGGTACTGCTTGAATTGAGAACAATGTTTAGGAATTATATAGTATATATGAAAAAAAGCAGTGCAGAGAAATGACCGTATGTAATAATATCGACTTACTGTGTATAAAAACACGATGCATAGGGAGCAGATTTGTCGATATTTTTTTAGAGTTGGACTACAAGTTCGCTTGGAAATGCTTTTATCCTTGGAATACTGGATGTGGTAGGCAGTGAGGTAGAGAAAAGCGAAGTATGAAACCTACCACGCGCAACGACAACATCTGCTCATAATTAATACGATTTTTGTTAGAGAAAGACAAATGATGTTTCGAAATCGTGACTCTATCCAAAATTACCATGAAGCTGCTAAAATTAGCACAAAAGTGGGCATTTTGAATGGCAGGTAAGCCTGTATTCCTTCGTAATTGAGAATGCTGGTAAAGAGAACGGTTCAGTATTGAAGTATCTGTCACGAACTATGTAGGAAAATAGAGCTTAGCGGATCCAAAATTCACAAATCTTATCGAATCGAACGGATAGGTGATCAACTCGAAAAACTTTAGCAGGGTAGATCACATACGACCAGAGTTTTACTTTTATATTTCAACATTCATTTTATATCGTATTACACCAAAATATCTTGAAGATTCTTAATTAACTTCAAATTAGATAAATTTATCTTGCAGACAAAATATACTTACGTATTTGTTGAATTTTCATTCGAAAAATCAATAAAATCTTTTGCCAAAAGATGATTTAAACAATTTAATAATGTATAAATATGTGCATTAAAATCTTCATCGGCATTAACTTCTTTTGTCTTTTTTCCATAATTACACTTGGTAAATATCTGTAACAATCTTAATATATATGTATAAAAAATATTCGTATGACTTGGATTTAAATAAACCAAAACATGTTCAGCATATAATGAAAATAATTCAAGTATAATTTGTACTTGATCACAATAATTATGATAAAAATCAAATAGATCAAGTATATATTGCAATGTTTGTTGACTATGTTCAAATAAATATGTTATTTGTTCTGATGAACATCGTGAACCACCTTCAATTAATCCACAATATGAATTAATTAATGTACTAATTTGACTTAAAACACTTTCACTATAAAATGTTTGTAATGCATTTGTACAATGAATTTTATTATTATTATTTAATTTAATTTCTTCAATTAATGTATGAATTGATTCAACAATTGAATGTAAACGTTGATTAAGAATTTGAAATATTGAACGATCAAAATGTAAACGATATTCATCCGATGAATTATTTAAACATGAACATGTTATACCTTTTATTAATAAACGTTTATATTCTTCATTGATTAATTGTATTGGCATTTGATTTGTTATAACATTATTTGCTAATGTCCAAAATAAATCATTTTTTATTATTATTGATGATGAATCTTTTTTCACTGATAATGTTACAAATAAATCGGCTAGAGGAAATAAAGAAAAAAAAACAAACGAAAGATTAATTTAAAAAAAAAGAAAAGAAAATTTGATAGTTTTATTTTATTTAAACC